CAATGCCAGAATAACTTGAGGTTTCAATAAGTGCCATTGGCTTGTGAACCACTTGGTTCTAGAGCACCTAAGGAGAACATTCTAAATCCTCTACCTCAGTCCCTCCCAGACCTGGCAAGCACAGGCCATGGGGAAGGCCCTGGACTCTATGTATTGAGAGAATGCCAGAAAAAGGAGATAAAAACAAGGAGATGTGCTTACTCAGTACCAAACTATGGAGGTGGGGACAAGTTTTATAACCCCGTTAAAAGAGGTTTATATCAGGTCATGACACAACCTAATTCTAAGTTCTAAAAGTCAGCCATGTACCAGAAGTAACAAGCAGTACGGGTGTTACCTGGGAAACTTACTAGAAATGCAAACTGTTGGGTTCCTCACCAAACAGCTACTGAATCAGAAACTGGTATGGGCCCCAAAGATTCTGTGTTTCAAAATTCACACAGGTAATTCTGATGCATATTAAAAATCTGAAAACCACTGGTTTAAAACTCAAGACAACTCATCTGGGTCACATATCATAGGTTAAAGGAAGCTAAATGAAACAAGAGTAATTAGTAATCTATAAGATACAATTGGTCTCACTACGCAGCTTGGACTCTTAGTGATCCTCCTGACTTCTGCCTCCCTAGCTCTGGGATTACAGCTGTGCGCCACCACGCCCAGCCTCCATCACCAGTTCAGCTTGCCTGGGGGCAGGGCCAGCGCAGCATGCAGTGCCAGGGATCGAACCCTGGCCCCTGCACTTACCTAAACAAGCATTTAGTCCGCTCAGCTATACCACTGGCCCTTAAGATACAATTTAAAGAGGAGCAAAAAAAGTCCTGCTTGTTCCTACAACTTGTCTAAAAAGCTCCAAAATGTCTTAAAATCAGAGCAATTCCCTTCAGTTAAGACAATGTCATAAAGAGTCACTCTGCCCACTAATATGCCAGCCCTTATTATTGATTCAGCTATCATTGGCAAAAGCTTGGATGTAAAGGAAAGTGCCACACAGCATAGCGTATGACAAGTCAGGACTAAAGTAGGCAAGGAAAGAAGGGTCCCAGCCAATCATCCTAAAGGGATGAAAAAGACATGTGCAGTGAGACCTTCCAGCAGGGAAGCTCTAGAAAGGCAGCGACACTTTTCACACAGTGAGAACGGTGCCCTAAGACACATTCTGTCATCATTACTTTCTTGAGTATCACTTAACTACCACTTAACTACTGAGGAGATAGTGTCCTGGCTTCATAGACTGGAACAGTGTCTTAACACTGTTAAGCAGTCCTTTGTTGCTCCTTAGCATGCCACGCCCGTTTTATACACATACGTGACTACTTCCAAACGAAACATGGAATACTATAAATCTGGGGCTCTCTTTAATACACATGTAATCCTCCACCACTCATGTCTTACAATGAAATCTACACATTCAGGTCCTGATTGTTTGAGGCGCAAGTTCACAGAGCTTAGAGCTTACCAGCAGCTTTTATATCCCTTTGCACTATTCTTCCCTGTTTCACTTATACGGCACATAAATACCGCATGAAAACGCTTCTCTACATACATCAAGAGCTGCCATTATGTTTTCGAATTCTGCTAACATCCCGAATGACTATTGTATTTGAAAGCACATAATTTGATGGTGAAAAAACAAAAACATTAAAATCTCACCCTTATGCTACATATAAGTTAACATTCTATTATAATTATATTTTTAAAGCCTTTCTATGTGCCCTTTCAAAAACTCAATTGAGGATAAAACTCAATTCACACTTTTTTAAAATTTATGACAAACCTTATGAGACAGAGATGCCACAATGAATGTTTATGTATAAGCTACCATAGGAAAGGTAATCGTCATTGATTCCCTGAGTATTCCTAGGATGGGTTGCAAAGGTCTATTTTCAAAAGTCCCCTTTATGTTGTTCTATGAGTCAACTGATGACATTTTGACCTCTACCCAACCATAGCTAAAACAGTCAAAATTAAGGTTGACACTTTGTCCTTTAACTTGTTCCAAAGTACTGCAGGGGTTTTTTACTGCCTGATGTTTCACCATATGTGCAGACTCTAGATACAGCCAGCAGGGTGAAGCAGGATGCCTCTGAACTTTGCCATTCCCCTGCTTCCTGTTGTTCTTGGAGCAACCCTCACTTTAGCTAAACACAACCCTTCTGGGCAAATCATTTTTAGTAAGAGAATCTGCAGAGCACCCTGTATGTGGATTACATTCCTGAATCTATGAGATTCACAGACTTGACTGGCTTCAAGTTTTGCAGTCTTTACAAAACCTATCCAGTTTATGAAAACATTAACAAAAATTATAAAACTATTACCACACAAGTTTTATGAATAAAAGTCCAGTTATGAAATGAATAGCAGGGGTAATTCTTTCTGAAATATTTTGGCTTGTCTCCTGATAGTTGTTATTGGCAGATTTTCAATACTTTTTCCACATTCAAGTTAATCTTATTCCAAGTTTTCTATTATGTTTGATAACATTGATATCTACTAACTTACACTCTTATAGGTCAGAACCAGAAAAAAATTTTTAGCTTCACACACAGAACTATTTTTTCCTGATATGAGAAAAATGTGAGAAAGGAGAGAATGCCAACTATAAGTGAACTGCATCCTTACTTCAGTTTCAGTAACTCTTACTAAACCAGAGCTCAGGAAAATGCACACACAAAGAAAAACATGGGTCATCTTAAAATATATGTAACTTTCCCAATTGTCTTTTCGCTTGGGTATTCTGGAAAGTGGAACATTTAGCTCTATATAATTCAAAAAAAGAATTCTATACATAGCTTAGAGAGAGAAGCATAAATCTGTCTCATGGGTCTCAGATTCACTTCCTGTTGCCTTCTTTCATTATACGTTTAAAGATAATCAATAAAAACTGACTTCTCTTTGTAAGTATTCCCTATTCTGCCAGAAATAATAGCAGTCCCTGCCCTAAGATGAAGAAAAGAAAGCAAGTCATAGTTACCATAAGAAAATGAAACCACCTAAGCATTTTCTGAGCCAGGAGAAACAGCAAATCCAGTTGATTCTTTAAAAAAAAAAAAAAAAAGTTTATACTCTTGGCATTACTACTGTTCTGAAAGTCTGTAAGATCAACAAGTTTTCCAATTCTACGCTTACACTTCTACTTTCAACCATGACTTCTTTATGTCTACTAATAGTTTTAACATATTTCTGTGTAAACATACATATGAAAGGCAAGACTTCTGTCACAGTTGAATACTGAAGTAAGGAGAGAACTATCAAGGTCCCCACAGCAGACCAAGATGCAAAACCACTGGGAAAAATAAAAGCTGAGAACAAAGTTAGTTAAAGAACTGAAAACAAACTTCGTTGTGTCAAAGCACAAAACTTTTTTGCCATACGCATTTTCAGCACACATAAAACATTACTTGAAAGCTTTATTTCTTTATTTTTATTTATTCATTTTTGTGGCCAGCTGGCTCAGCCTGCCCTAGGGGTGGGGCTGGCATGGCATGTGGTGCTGGGGATTGAACCATGGTCCCTGCGCACTTGCCCAAGCTTGCCTAAGCAGGCATTTTAGACCACTGAGCTCTCTCCCCAGCCCTTGAAAGCTTTATATTAGAGGGCCAGCCAAATTGCTTAGTGGATTAAAACACCTGGCCAGGGGTTCGATCTCCAGGCCTGCCAGCACACGCCTGTAATTCCAGCTTTTGGGAGGCTGTGAACAGGTGGATCACTATGAGTCCAATCTAGTAGTGAGGGCTTGAATACCCTGTAGACCCTTCCCCACCCCCAGGAAAGAAAGAAAGAAAGAAAGAAAGAAAGAAAGAAAGAAAGAAAGAAAGAAAGAAAGAAAGAAAGAAAGAAAGAAAGTTAGTTTTATCTTAGACTCTGGGATAATCCATCTGGACTCTCTAATACATATGTACTATCGCCAAGCACTTTTTTTTTGGCAGAACCAGGGATTGAACTCAGGCCCTTGTGCTTGCCAGGGAAGCACTCATTCCACTGAGCCATCTCCCCAGCCCCACCAAGCACTTTTAATGTGCTTTCTTCTGTGTTCTTCACAAAAGACTGTAAGAAAATATCAAATGGGAGAGTAGCAGACTTGTACTTAGTCATAAAGTTACAAATACATTTTATAAGTTTTCCAGGTTTCTTACTTCCCTTCAGTCTGCACTATCTGTGGAGGTTGTCATACTGTAAATCAGACACATTTAGCCAGCCAGGTTGAAGAATGAAGGTGAAAAGCACAGTGGAAAATACATAAAGTACAATTAAAACCATATGACCAGAGATATGGAAGCAATACTTGCTGGAGAAAGGCCAAGCACAAATCAAAACGTTCTCAGTGTTAGTGAAACTATCCAGTCCATTTGGGACAAGTACACATCATTCACTAAATACACTGTTACTTTTCTCTTTCTCCCAGAGAAAAAGTACTCAAGGAACTTTAGTCCTAGCTCAGTAGGTAAGCCTGTAGAGATCTTTTTAGGATAGTTCGGTTTACAGTTGTTAATACAAAACTGATCTATCATTTAAAGCAGTACCACTTATTTAGAGATATAGTTTAAGATTGAAAAAGGATCAATTTTATATCCAGTGGAGAATATTAAGTTGACAGCAATGTTAAATCAGAAATCTTTGCACTTTTCTACAAACCTTTGCCTCTAAAGACTAAGTATACCACTTAAGACAAAGACAATCCAAATGCCTATAGTTAGACATAAAAAACAAGAATCTATAAAATCCAAACTATCTCCCCTACTATGTATATTACAATCTAGATATGACCATCTCATTTTGGCGGTACTTAGCAGGCCAATGATGCATAAGTCTAGGGATGTACAGAAATTAAGAGCTCACTACAAAGCATCTCTAGTAAAACTTCATCAAAGCCATTCCATATGTATTTTTCCTGTGTATTCCAAGTGTCAGTTACGATAATCTCCACAGACAGATGAAATGTAATATTCAATATTGCTTTGCGATTCTGGCAGACACTTCAAATGTAGGAAGTCACTTACCCCCCAGAAACTGAATTCCTCCAGCCACTCTTCCTACGGTCCGGGAGATGAGCTCTGATACACAACAACCCATGAGGGCCGTGAGTGCCACCAGGAGGAGCAGGCCACAACCCAAGCCGGTCACTATGGTACAGATCCTCCATTCTGCGCTGGGGATGCCCTGAAAGGAGGCATAGCGCCCACATTCCTCCACCATCACCATCATCTGCCGACTCTCATCATGCACAGGATAGGAGCATCGCCGGAAAGTACCAAAGGACACTGGCTTGCCCAGCTGGGATCCCCAGAGCCAGTAAGGCATAAAAAAGCCCACACAGGAGGTGGCAGCACAAAGAAAAGAGAGGAAAGCCCAGACCAACCCGGTACAAGTCAGGCTGGATGCCATCTTTCACCAAATTGGGCAAAGAGGGCCTGAAGTCAATGTTCTGGAAATGCAGGAGTGAATGAAGGTGTGAAGTCACCAGGAAACCTCAGGTAATCCACAGTTCTAGGAGGGGTGTCTATTAGCAAAACGGATTCTCAGTTTTACTGGACATCAGCTTTCCATCCTCTGTGGTAGAGATGATGGTCCCTGTGAAAACAGTAATAGGGAACATTAAAAATTAAACACTTAGAGAAATGCTAATACTTAAACAGTTGGCCTGAAAATTTAAGGGAAACATTCAAACTTGTCTCGACACTTCAAAAGTGGGAAAAACTAATTATCTCCATAAGCTTCTCTATAATTCAAATTCTAGCCAACCCTCTCAAAGCTTCTTCATGTCTTTATCTCCTGTAAATGCTCCCAAATTAACTCTGACAGCTATTTACTTAAAGAAATGCATGACTTCTATTTGCCTAGCCAGAGAATTCATTTCACTAACTCACATTAAAAGTAATGTAGCATTTTTACTGGCAGTAAACATAATTCAAGATATTAAAATGAAACAAACCATATTGCAGTTTGTTTGCTTGCCTTGCAAGTACACACTCACAGTTTGTAGCAAATTTTACCTGTGCACTAATTCTGTCTCTGCCCAAATAAGATAATTAAAATAATTTTCCCCCATGAGACAGTATCATAAATTCAACAAACATTTTAGACCATCTAGGCATCTACATTAGACAGAAGTATTATTAGACACACCCTAGTACTCAATCAGTAGCATTTGAGAATTTCTTTAGCCTTAGCAACCATCTTCTCTTGTGAAAGAAAGTCTGTGCCAGTGTGACTTATTTTCACATCTACTCTCGATTCATCAGTTCCCATGATTGCGTGGGAATCATTTCTCTTGCTGAACAACTGGCTAACCCCAGAGGTGACCCATGCTCTTTAATACTTGACATCAAATACCCATCACTCAAATGGTTGTAGGTACAAATACAGCACTGCCACTCCTGCCTTTTCCAAACTAGTTCCTGAACCATTCCCCACACTTTCCATAATGAACACAGAAACACACAGGCCACCCAGCCTAGAGTTCCATCTCTGAACTCCTTCCCAACTCCAGCTTTACGGGTCCACAGCCAGTCCTTTCCCGTCCTTTCACCATCTCCTCCCCAGACATGGCCCTGCCTCCAGATCTGGATATCACGCAAAGAGACCCGTGGCTACTTTCTTTTTTTAAATTGTCTACTGCGGTCAGCGGTGAAGTTGGTCTGTCTGGGCCAGGAGGCTGGGGGAAACCGGCCGGGGCTGGCGTGAGGAAGGGGGCCCGGGTCGCCAATGAGGCGAGGAGTAAGCCCACATTCAGCGCCCCGCGATTGTTGGTCACCCACCCACGGAAACACAATGATCCCCCAATTCTGAAACGGGAGAGGGGCATTGTCAGCGGGCTGAGGGCGGACCGACGCAGAGGATGGGCAGGCAGCACCCCCCGGAGGCGGGCGCGACAGCGGACGCGTTGCGGGGCAGAGCCGCGGGGAGCCCGGCCGGGGGTGCAGGCGGGGCGGCTCCTCGGCGTCCGGGCGCGGGGCGCGGGGCAGCCTTGCGCTCTACTCACATGGCCGGCGGGCGGCGGCCGCCTCCTCTCGCGGGTCCCGGGCGCTCCACAACTTGCTGTCTTTCCGGGGCGGAACATCCACGGACCGGGCACGGTCCCTGTCTTCCTCTCCGCTGTCCGAGCCGCGGAGCCTGGGGCTGACCTGCGAGGCGCGCTGGGCGCAGAGCAGACCCCGCCGGCGAGCCCCGGCTGCGCGCACAGGAGCAGCTCCCGCCGCCAGGCTGCGCCGCCTCCTCCGGCCGCCCGGCCCCCGCCCCCTCCTGTCCCCTCCCCTGCGCCCCGCGGGACCCGGCGAGACACTGCGAGGACGCTGCCGCCGCCCACGCCCGAGCCCCCGGGCGCGCCGAGGCTGGCCGAGCCCCTCGAGGCCGCGCGCTCTGTCCCCTGTGGGACTGCGCCTCCGGGCGCGGGGGTTGCGGGGGGCGCGGGGAGCGCGAAGTAGCGGGAAGTTCCCAGTGCTCGGCGGCCGGGCGCTCCTGGGGCTGAGGTCTGCGCCTGCAGTTCTCCTACCGCAATAGGAGACTTAGAAGGGAAGGAGGACCTGAGAGTGGGCCGAGGGACCTGCTGGGCTTTAGGGGGCTCCGGAGCAGCGGCGGTGTCTTGGGAGGCGGAGAGCACGGCGGGGAACGAGAAGGGAACGAGAAGGGAGCTGCGCAGCGCCCCTGGGCTCGCGGACTCTGGGGCCGCTGGCTTTGCAGACAGGCTGGGAGAATCCCAGGGAGGCAGCTCAGGAGCCTCTCCCTGAGAGAGAACCGTCCTGGGTATAGGACAGTATTCTCCACTTTTCTACCCCCAAACCTTGGCTGCCTTCCCCTCTCCACTTCTTCCCTTCTCCCCAGCCCTCTCTTTCTTCCCCGTGGGTCCCCTTAACACCCTTCCATTCATTCTTCCATCTCCTCCTTCGAATCAATCTAAGCAGTCTGCACCACCATTGGATTTCTCCTTTGAAAAACAATTTTTATTTCCCCTCTCTACGTGGGGTCTATTTTTACTTGTCTTTGGCACAAGCTCCTTTGGAAGTGTAGAGCTAGATTCAGTGGATGACGGTGGAAGTTTGCTGAAGGCAGTATTTTAGGAAACACGCCATCTGGGAATAGCAGTTTTTGAAGTAGGTGCTTTCCCCAGATAGTTTTGGTGATACGACTTTTCAAAGAAGTTGACATAAATGGGCAGGTTTGTACTTTGTAAGAAATTTTCAGATTACACCATTTAGTTCATCATGATAATGTACCTTTTTTTTCCTACTACAGTTGGAAAAGTGTATTCTTTCATTATTATTTTGAAGGGCTTTAAGTGATTGGTTCCAATCCTTTTAAGGTCATAGGTATTTATGAAAATGCAAAGAAATTAGTAAGCCTCATAGGGGAAAAATATATAGTTTTATAGTTCTCAAAAGGGAGAAAGAAGAAAATGCCCTCCAAGAGACATTTTGGCCAAGTCTGGACAATATTTTTGGTTAACATGACCCGTGACAGAGAAGCATTACTGGCATCTAGTGGGTAAAAGCCAGAAATCCTGAGAAATAAAATATTCAGGACAGCCCCTGAATGACCCAGCCAAGGAGGTCAGTACAGCCAAAGTTGAGAGAACATGTCTCACTGAAATGTCAAATGACTCCGCGTCCTGAAGTTCACACATAAATCACAGGCTCAGATTCTTTGATTGAAGCTGCTTTAATTCCGCTTGTCCAAATTACCGGTTACTGAATTCCATGGCACCATAATGATTGGTCTGACTTCAGTTAGGTACCACACCCTGGGCTATTACGCAGGATCTTCACATCTACCTAACACAAAGGTAGCAGATAGGATCACATAAAGGCAACGTAATAATAGATCCAACCTCACCTCCAGTGCAGCCTACTGGGAAAGTTGGCCTAAGATGCTTTCTCAAAGTAGGAGAAGCTTTATTCGCTTGAGATGGGTGGCTAGGGAGACATTAATGGTAATCATGGTCACCACCACTTGAGTCTTTGCCGTGTGTTATTACATTGTTTATTGTTACTGCAACTCACCCTCAAAAAACCATAAATTTGCAATTAGTATTTTACAGAGAGAATAAAAAGCTTACCCAAAAAAGATAGAGGTAAAAGGGGGACTTTTAAAAGGTTCAATTGCATTCTGTTAAACAGTAAATGCAGTCAGGGCCATTCTGAGATTAAAAAAAAAAAAAAAGAAAAGAAATCAAATTCTTGAACTTCTATCAAGATTCAAGCAATGTGAATTCTTTGTGCTGTATACTGAGACTCAAATGTCTGAGCTAAATGAATGAATTTAGGTCATGATCTTTCTGTTATCTCATTTGTGAAAAGAGTTTGACTTATTGTTGCCTTAGTGTATGACTTCACATGACGATTATATAAGACTTCCTATTTAACACAAAGTTTCAGATCATCTCATCTTGTTCAAGTGCCTACTTTTACAGATGAGGAGACAAACTCAGAACCTTTCTAGAATCTCATCCAAGAGAGAGGGCTGCAATCCATGGAACTCTTCACCCCACTATATAATTATCTTCCCAAACTATTATTTTTTGAATCATTCTTTGAGTTCTTGCATGCATACTTTATAAGCAGAATGCATTATGACATCTCTTAAAGCCCTACATTCCATTTGCTTGCTCAGAAGATCTTTACCTCACAGCCAGGATTTCCATGTAGCACAGGACATTTGGATCTCTTGTTCAACATCTGGGCTTCCAGTGAGTCATAGGATGAAATCACAGATGTGAAAGTGTGTGTAACACTGCAGGATATTGAGGATCACACCTTCTGTTAGCTACCCAACACTTGCTCTGAAACCCCTCTTCCTCACTAGTCATCCTTCTAGCCTCTCTTAAAGTTAGTGGTGGATGCTTGATCCCCTTCTAGGCTGCTGAGTCACATGAGAGAGGTCTGGGGAAGACCATATTTATTAATCAAATAAGGTAACATAAAGGAACAGTTATCTTGCCATCCTGGCTGTGTTTGTGCACATTCTTAAAGGATGAGATATTTGGAACTGTGGCAGTCATCTTGTGATCCTGAGACAGAAGAATGTCACAGAGACACCATCCAGTACCATAAAAGGGGGAGCTGTTCACTTTCTTTTGATTTTTTTTAAACAAGTGAACTGTAGATTGTTGTTATGGCTTAAGTAACTGTGAGTTGAATTTTCTTCTAGTAGATGAAAGCATTCCTAGTTGATAAAATACTGCACAGATAAGCCATGTGCTTAATGACAGGAAATACACATTAGTCAAGATAGTATCTCAGAGTTTGGTGATCATAGGTTAGTATTCAATAACTGAACACGAACAGATGGTTTACCTGAATAGATAAGTGTCATTGTAATTAATACCTTTATTCTATTGCAACCTATAAAATGAGTATTTCCTTTTAAGCAAATAAAGGATGATGTATGAAATTACAGAAAGAAGGTAATAGTGAGTAATAGGAACCATGGAACTAATTACTTCAAACCACTGGGGAGAAATCAGAAAATAATTTGTTTAGTTCTCAATAGCCAAACACTATTGTATGGTGACACAGTGCCATTTTCTACTCTCTGTCGTAGAGGAGCATTAAACACAAAAATCTCCAAGTTCCAGGCTGCACTGAAGTCTGAGTGTCCATGGAACAGTTCCAGCCACTGAGTTCTGCTCCCATCATACCCGCTTCCTGTTCCTCAGAGCCCAGAAAGTGGCTGCAATAACATGTATCTTTCCACATGAGACAAGAGGCGGGAAGCCAAAAGTTAACACAGTAGGAATGAGGAAATAAAATTGATAAAAAGAGTTGGGATCCTCCAAATAACTGAACGCGAGGCTGCTATATTATCATTAGGTTGCCATATTATCCTTGGACCTCTAGTAGTGAGACCAACAGCCCTTGCCTAGTTAAGTCACTGTCATACACATTAGACTTCATAATAACTCTTGTCTTGCCATCTAAGAGCCAGCACCAGAGCAAAATAGGTTAGCTGCAGCATGCAGAAACACAAGCAGTGCAGGGAGGGGAGAGGTTGGTGTCAGCATAGACACATTTGCTGGTAAATGGTGAGTGTGACAGGCATCCGTTGTTTGCAACCTGTGCTGCAGATGATGGACCCTCCCTCTTTAAAGTGTGGCTGGAGCGAAAGGAACAACTATGGAAACAGTTTATGAAATATATCTGCTTTGAGTGTTCAGCTTTGAACAGTTCAGAAAGACAGAAGTTCTCAGCATCATAAAATGGCCTGATGCCAGGAGCTTCCCACTAACTACAGATCAGCAAGGAAGAGATGCAGGGAGGAAGAAGGTAGAAAGGAGAGCTATTGGACAGCAAAAAAGAGACTGAAACATGACCAGGGTGGAGAGATTTCCTTAACTGCTCCTGGCTGTTGAGCTCATCAGTTTTGTATGCATGAAAACATGTATTCATTGTTCCTCACCGGATCACCAGATGCCAGAACATACCTGAAGATTGCTCCATCCGCTGAAAAACTGCGATCAGTTTACAGTACAAAAGCAGAGGGCAATGTTTAGAAAGAAAGGTGGCGATCCTGCCATTTTGCTATTCTCTTCTTTTCTTTGTTAATAAATTACATTTTCCCTTCACAAATTTCTCTTTAAGGTTAATTTAATTGGCTACTACTATGGTATTTGACTGCATTGTGTTTATCATATACACAGGAAAATCCATCTCAGGAGCAAGTGATCTCAAAAGTTTCATGCTTCCCATTTCAACTATAAGTAACATAGTGTACTGCTTGAGAATTTTAATTCTCCAATCTGTATACGTATATGTACCATGGTTAGTCCAACATCCCACTAAAAAAAGATTGCTTATTTCATTTTCTATAAACTTTCTTTCACATGTTTGATAGATTCAGGATGTCCCTGACCCAGTAGAAGTTGCATTTGTCTTGTTTGGTACAGTTTCTAACCACAATAATTTGTGTGACTCTATTCTTCAAGAACTTTCTGGAGATAAGGTTTATGTAGTCTGTGGCCTGGTCCCAGTGGTGCTATCACCATTATTCATTTAAAGTTTGCAAATTACTTTGGAAACATAAATTGCCATATAATTTTTATGTATGATTCTTTTATAAATTAAAGTAGCATACACATGTTAAATCAATAACTTATTCATAAGAAGAAAGATGAAGTGGTAAATCACATTTAGCAGAACAAATGCTTCACAATAAGCCATCAAAATGGAAAACAACCACAGTACATTTTTTTTTTT